TGCGGTGGTGACTGCCCTTCCTTGGTGCCCTTGGCTTGTGGATGCATCACTCCAGTCTCTGTCTCTGTCCTCCTGTGGCTTCCTCCCTTTTGTCTGTGTCCAGATTTCCCTCTGCATTGTAAGGACACCAGCCATTGGATTTCGGCCCACCGATTCCAGGGGGACCTCATTTTAACTGGATTATGTCTGCAAAGATCCATTGTCTAAATAAAATCTCACAGGTACTGGGACTCTTGCTGTTTGACTTTCTGTATTTCTTTTAGGCTAGGCTTCTGAATGGATATAAGAGAAATCAAGTTATTTTTTGTGAATCTTTTATTTTTCCTCTGGTTAATAATTTGCATTCACTGTGGTTTTGAGAAAATGTTTTGAAGTGTCTCACTGGAGGTAACAAAGCCTATATTGGCCTTTTACTTTTGCAAAGTAAAATACAAAATCTTATAGGAAGAAAACATGGAATACTAAGCAAAGCACTTTAAAATATATGTGAAGTGGCCAGGTAGTGTAGCTCACACCTTTGTAATCTCAGCCCTTTGGGGAGGCCAAGGCAGGTGAATTGCTTGAGCCTAGGAGTTTGAGACCAGCCTGGGCAACATGGTGAATCCTTATCTCTACAAAAAATCTGCAAATTAGCATGTAATCCCAGCTACCTGGGAAGCTGACATGGGAGAATCACCTGAGCCCAGGAGGAGCTGCAGTGAGCTGTGATTGCACCACCGCCTGGGCAACAGAGCAGGACTGTCTCCAAATAAATAAATTAAATTAAATATAGGCAGAGAAGCAAGAGTTAAAAGGGCAGCGATTCCACTGAAAAGTCTGTTTACAAAGGTTTATGACTTGGGTATGAGTTGCCCATTGGAGCTGGCAGAGCCCTGGATGGATTGATTGGACTCAGCAGAGCTCTGGCATGGCTGTGGGGGAGGGTAAGTTTCTGTGATGGTGTTTTAAAGTGAAGAAAGACTCTTTAGAGGACATGGATATGCCCAGCTGCCTGTTCCCTGGGTGCCTCCATGGGCCGCAGGAGCCAGTGCCAGAGTCTGAGGTAGGTTCTCACTTGTTGGAGAAGGTTGTTTGCTGGTGCGTGTGCGTTTACAGTTCCAAGGAGAATCACAGCCAAACTACGCCCCCTGGAATGTAGTATTTCAGAAGTATATCGACTTTGTTTTAAAAAGAAATTCAATTTTAGACTATCCATCGAAGTTCAAATTTGTCTTATAAGGAATTTAACAGTCTTTTGGCCAAGAATTAATGTTTGAATCTGAGCTTAAATCTGAGAGTTTTCCTCTTCCTTCTCTTTGTACTTTTGCTGGGAAAAAATGGACATTTCGGTTTTATGTATTATGCTGTTAACTAATTTTTGCTCTTTTTAGAATATGTGGTACCTTTTAGAGGGAGTGTTTTCTCCTTTTATATCTTCATTGGAACTGTATAAACATTAAACATAGAATTACAGTTATTTCTCTTAAAAAAAAAAAAAAAGGTCTTGTTTTGTCACCCAGGCTGGAGTGCAGTGGTGCAATCATGGCTCACTGCAGCCTCCATCTCTTGGGCTCAAGCAATCCTCCTGCCTTGGCCTCCCGAGTAGCTGGGACCACAGGCACATGCAACCATGCCCTGCTATTTTTATTTATTTATTTTGAGATGAGGTTTCACTGTGTTGCCCAGGCTGGTCTCAAACTCCTGGGCTCAAGCAGTCCTTCTGCCTCAGCCTCCCAGAGTGCTGGGATTACAGGTATGAGCCACTGTGCTCCGGCTAACAGTTGGTTCTGTGTGCTCTAATGTGCTGACTCTGAGGCAGGATGTGTTAAAGGAACAGTTCCGAGTTCTGCCCCCTGCCATCTGCTGGCCGGCTTGGAGCACACCTGCCTGTACCCAGCCTCCGTCATTGCCTGGAGGAGTTCCTTACTTCTGGTATCACTGAGAAAAGGCAGGCTGCGTGTTGCGTAAGTGTGAAATCAAACAAACCAAGACCTCAAAAAACTAACTGAAAACAGAACAGAACAAAGCGCTGCACATCTGTTGGTGAACAGGTAGCAGGTGGACGGCTCCCTGCCTGTGCTCTTGTGGCCCTTCTGTTTTTCTAGCATGCTATTCCTGACCCTTCTTATTACAGGGCAATAATGTAACTGGGTTTATTCGTACTATGTATTTAAGTTGTCAGCACCATTTGATTCAGTAACCTATCTGTAATTTGTTTTTCATGTGTGATAGAAAAAACAATATTAACCTTTTCATGATTTCTCTCATATTTTTCCCATAGTGGTGTTGGGGAGGAAAAATGTTTCCTCTACACTCTCAGACTCTGTTCTTAAGGCCTGTGAATTAAATTGACAGAGGACAGATTAGCAAAAGAAAAGACAGATGTTTATTCACATGCTTCTGTGTGTGTGTGTGGAAGACTTCATAGAAAAATTCTAACCACTCGAGGTGGTTAGAATTTAAGGCACATGTGCCATCTTACTAGGGAATGGGGAGGGAAGAATAGAACTTATGGCAAAACAAGTGACTTTTAGGAAAGGTAAATGGGCTTTCAGGAACATACCTGAGTTTTGTGACAGTGTCTGTTTGGGTGTGGGTTCTCCTTTTTTTCCCCAGTTGCAGACAACTTTCAGGAGGGGATTTGTGACAGTTCAGTTCTTTTGAGAGGCTCTGCTTTTAGGCAGATAACACAGTTCAGGAAAAAAGCCTACTGTCTAAAGCCCTCAGCTCAAAATCATTTCTGTGCTATTCTGGAGGGAGAATTAAAGGTGGCAGCCCAGGCAGGAGGTTTCTGTGGACAGCAGCAGAGGGGAGGTTGCTGGGACCTGAGTGGTATTGTCTTTTGAGCAGAGGTGACTGGCATTGCAGGAAAACTTCTGGAAAGGAAATCATGAAGCCCATTGTTTTGTGTCTTTGTTGCCACTGATTAACTACGTGGCCCTAGGCAAGTCACTTCACTTCTTTAGTGAAGTAACTTCCCAGGGTTCCTGATTTCAAAAATGAGGGGTTGGAGTAGAGTACCTGTAAACCCCATGCTGTGCTCTTTGCTCTGCATTCGCTTCTTTTTTTTTTTTTCTTGAAGTTGAGTCTCATTCTGTCACCCAGGCCAGAGTGCAGTGGTGCAATTTCGGCTCACTGCAACCTCCACCTCCTGGTTCAAGTGACTCTCCTGCCTCACCCTCCCAAGTAGCTGAGATTACAGGCACTCGCCACCATACTTAACTAATTTTTTCGTATTTTAGTAGAGACCAGGTTTCACCATGTTGGCCAGGCTGGTCTCAAACTCCTGACCTCAGGTGATCCGCCAGCCTCAGCCTCCCAAAGTGCTGGGATTACAGGAGTGAGTCACCGCCCTTGGCTCTGCATCCACTACTTCATGGCACATGGCCTCAGTGAGTGTTCAGACCCTCAGGCTAGAAATGGCAAGGCCTGGGGCCCAGGGTCTCCTGCTGCTAGCTGGAGGTGTGTCTCCTTTGCCTCCACCAGCCACCATTTTGCTTTCTCAGGGAGGGGGCTGGCGGGCTGCAGCACCAGCTCTGTGGGCTCCCAGGGACTCTTGCTGTGACAGTCTGCCCTCTCTGATAGTTCTGGTTGTCCTCCTTGTGCCCATGCCTGACTAAGAGCCCTTTTCATTTGTATCTGTAGGTAAGATTCAGGCATGGATGATGGAGGGCACGCAGGCCTCTGCTCCTGCAGGTTTCTGACGCAGCTCTCCTCTCTTGCCAGGCTTTGGGGGTCTGCTCAGACAGCTGCTGTCTCAGCAGGCCTGAGCTCTGGGGATGTTTACTCCATGGCCCAGCAGTTAAGGACTCCTGCCGTAAGGGCTGTCTCACCAGGTGCTTCTCATCCTCCTAAGGGCCTGCTGTTTCTCAGGGAACTCTGCGGAGCCATATCACAGAAGTCAGGTGATTGACTGAGGTTGCGCTAGCTCCTGGGGCAGACACAGTGACCAAACACATCTGCCTGATCCCCCCATCATGTGTTTTTCTAGAACATTGTGTTGCCTCTAAAAAAATTAGAAGATCATACCTCATTTAGGATAGACTCTTGAGCTGTGGGATTGTCCAGTCTAAAATCTGAGATCCATAAATGACTTGTCCCAGCTCGCACCACTAGTGAGCAGCCTGGTCTAGTTCTTTGAATCCTCATTCAGTGCTCGTCCCATCAGACTGTTGCCCGGAGGCTGCTGGTGGGAGCCAGAGGCTCCTCAAGTGTTGGGTCCTGACAGCCCTGGTCTTAGTCCTCTTAAAGCACCTTCTTTTTCTAAGTAGTGCACATTATTGAAGGAAGTGGCTAGGACAGCAGTGGATAGTGTTACCCATTCATTTCTTCTCTTGGCAAGTCTTTGGCACCCCAGGCTATCGTTATATATATTTTTGGGGACACTGATCATAGTTACTAAATTCATTTGATTAACTCACAATGGTGCTGATTTTTTTTTTGGGGGGGGGGGGGAGTCTTGCTCTATCACCCAGGCTGGAGTGTGGTGGCCCAATCTAGACACACTGCAACTTTTGCCTCCCAGGATCAAGCAATTTTCCTGTCTCGCTGCGTCAGCCTCCCAAGTAGCTGGGACTACAGGCGTGCACCATGCCCAGCTAATTTTTATACTTTTGGTAGGGGTGGGGTTTTGCCATGTTGCCCAGACTGGTCTTGAACTCTTGGCCTCCTAGAGTGCTGGGATTACAGGCATGAACCACGCATCCGGCCCGTGCTTGTTTTCTTAACGCCTTTTGTTGTAGCTGATCATTAGTCACCGAACCACTGTTTCAATTATGGTTATTGAACAAAAGAAGGACTAGAACCAGCCTAGAATCAGCCTAGAATAAAAGATAGATTTGGTACTTTTGATTAAGGTTTAATTGTGTTATCATGTTCTAGTACATAAATAACTGCTGTAATAAACACATAAATCAAGAAAGCCTGAGGTGGGGCTCTGAAGGTTGGAGGGAATGTATGGCTTGTTCTTTTTTAATATCTTCCTGGTTATTGAGCTCACCTGACTTGTTCGCGTTTGAAAGGTTGTCCCTGATGGCCCCTGGAGGCGAGACTCATCACAGGATGAGGAAAGGACAGAGGCACAGAGAACCCCCAGGAGGAGATGGGGCTCCGGGAGATGGCCCAGGCCTCGGCCACTCTCTGACTACAGCCAGCTGGCCAGCCGTAGTTTGTCTATTCCTGAAGACTCGGTTGCCACAGACCCCCAGAAGGAGGACCATGTGGACAAGGACCCCCAGGCAAGCATGACTTCTGCCAGCCCTGAAGATCAGAATGCTCCGGTGGGCGGCCCCAAAGGAGCCCGGAGAAGACGCCCCATTTCCGTGATAGGTGGGGTCAGCTTGTATGGGACCAACCAGACAGAGGAACTGGAGAAACTTCTGACCCAAGTAAGATCTGATGTGCATCTCCCAAGCCGGCAGAGGCCCTCCAGCTTCCTGCCTCTGCTCTGTCTGCGCACTAAACTGGATCTGCTTTCCCTCTCCTGTCCTCAAGGGCAGCACCACATACTCACCACCTTTTCTTCCTGACTGTGTGAAAACATGCCTAAATTCAAACTAACCATCTGGCTTTTGGATGCCTTTTGCTAATCTTTCTTTCTTTCTTGAAATCTCAAATAATACGTGAGACTCATCTGCTGTTTGTTTTTGAATAACCTGAGATTCTAACCAGGGGAAGGTAACAGGGCATATTTATAGTAAGACTCTTGAAAGAAGTAATTGTTGAAAAAGACAGTATTGTTCATTGCTAAAATGTAAAAAAGAAATAAGTAAAATGTAAAGAAGAAACTGTTTTTTAAGAGATAAGAAAGTATTTTGTTTTCTACCATTTTCTTGCTCTTTTTTTTTTTTTGAGTTGTAACTTTGCAGCTGTTAATAGTTTGGCAATGGATTAAATACTACTGGTTTCTTAGTATATTTCAGTAATTCAATAAATATTTATCCAGATATCCAGTAAGCACTTTGAAAATACAGAACATTTAATTAAAGACTCTATCTTGGAGAAATGTATACTTATTTGGGAGGCTAATAGTCTGGCCATGGTAAATGTTCACAAAACAATATATGAGTAATATATATGCCCACTTCCATGTTTAAAACCTGCTAGCTGATGTCATAAATAACCTGTAAAATTACCTTAAAAGGGAAATCTTATACATTCCTAGTACTGGACTGTATCTTTACATGTTTCCTGTAAAACCCTACACAATGCCTTGTTTATAACAAGCACTCAAAAACTGCTTAATTAAATTGAATTGATTTCTTAAGGTTAAAAAGTTAAGTTGCAGAATACCATGAAAATTTTAAGAATCTTTTGTCTGAAGATGCTCCACTGTTAGGAAATGATTCTGCACTGCAGCAGATTGTCACCTGTTTTTAACTCAAAACAATAGTCTAGGACACTCCACAGCCTTAGGACTTCAGAGCAGCCAGAATGAGTGTACGAAGTAATTTTCTCTACTATAACCGAATTTAGGGAATTGGGTGGGAAAATTGTAAGAAAGCGTACGGAATTACATAGGCAGAATATGCATGTAATAAAAGAAAGAAGAAGAAAAGAACTGTAAGGAACGCATGAAGGAACTGGGCCTTTGAGTAATAGTTTTAGGGATCGCTATTATAGAAAACCAGAAGGGCGTTATGGACAATTCTAGAGAGACCTGGGCAACTATGTGGAAAACCACGTCTTCTTTTAACCAAAGCTCTACCACCATGTGAGTTTAGGTAAGCAAGGCTTGCCTTCAGTTCCATCAATTCTTATCAAGAGCCTACCTGTGCCAGGCTCTGTAGGAGTCTGCAGGGATGAGTAAAGGAGGCTGAAGAAGGACATGAGGACGGAAGTCAGTCACCCTGGTCAGTTCTGTGGCCCTGTCCTGACCTCCTCCAGAGGCCACCCCTGGGAAAGCATTTTCATACCCTGTGACTCTGCATCCGTGTGACAACTCCACTGCTTCCTAGACATGCCTTCCTCTTCTCAGACGCTTCTCTTTCTTTAGTGTGACCTACTGGCATGTTGCAGACAAGTGAGATGAAACGTGAGGCTGCAGGGTGTGGGCCAGTAAGCTGATGCAGGATTGTTAAAAACTGTAGAATCATAACTTGCCACTGGGCTTCGGTGCAGCCTGCAGCTCGTGGCAGGATTGGAGAAACCATTTCCCATCTGTGAGTGGCTTCGAGGTGAGAGCACCGTGCGTGCGAGGTGCTTGCAAGAGCTGCCACTTCCTGGCACTTCCTCACAGACTTTGCTTTGTTTTTGCAGCCGGCTGCCAGGCCACCCTTGCCTGCTCACCAGGTGCCACCCTACAAGGCTGTGTCAGCCCGGTTCCGGCCCTTCACATTCTCCCAGAGCACCCCCATTGGGCTGGACCGTGTGGGACGCCGGCAGCAGATGAGAGCATCCAACAGTGAGTCTCAGAGTCCCTTTTCTTTCAGAGCTGCTGTGGGCCCATCTGACTGTTTCCAGCTAACCCGAGGTAGCAGGTTCTGCACCTTTGTGCCTCCCCAGACCAGGGCACATTTGTTTGGGAGTAAGGATGGCTCATCTTGGGACAGTGGTACATCATTTGCTGTCTGGGGTAGATGCTCTGTGTGCCAGGCTAGTGGCTCTAAGTTTGAGAAGTTTGCCCCTTCAGTGGTGTCCACGTACCTCAGTTCCTGCATGTGAAGATCACTAAAGAACCGAGACCCAGGCTAGCAATCCGAGATCAGCGCGTCGGTGGGGTTAGTTTCTTCTGAGGGTGATGACGGGGAGGGTCTGCTCCAGGCCACTCTCTTAGCGTCTGGTAGCCTCAGTGTTCCTTGACTTGAAGGAGCATTGTTTCATCTGTGCCTTCGTGTTCACATGGCGTTCTTCCGTGCATGTCTGTCTCTATGTTTAGATTTTCCCTTTTTATAGACACCAAGCTTACTGCGTGTGGACCCAACTTAATGACCTCATCTTAACCTGATTGTCTACCAAGACTATTTCCAAATAAGGTCATACTCATGGGTGCCAAGAGTTAGGACTTCACCATCTTTTGGGGGATACAATTCAATCAAAAAAACATATACCATATTTTTAACAATATGCAAAGTGTATCCATATGGCTTAAGATTTTAAAAGAATAGCCAAGGCCAGGCACAGTGGCTCACGACTGTAATCCCAGCACTTTGGGAGTCCGAGGTGGGCGGATCACAAGGTCAAGAGATTGAGGCCATCCTGGCCAACATGGTGAAACCCCGTCTCTACTAAAAATACAAAAAATAGCCGGGCGTGGTGGCACATGCCTGTAATCCCAGCTACTCAGGAGGCTGAGGCGGGAGAATCGCTTGAACCCAGGAGGCGAAGGTTGCACTGAGCCGAGATTGCGCCACTGCACTCCAGCCTGGCGATAGAGCAAGACTCCGTCTCAAAAAAAAAAAAAAAAGAATAGCCAAAAATAAGAATGGCATTGTTAGGGTGGTAGGAATGTAGAGCATTTCTCTTCCCACCCGTACCTATGTGCACACAGCCTGTTGCCTGCTTTCCGTAACACTGGTTATTGTTGTTTTAAAAATGTTGTAATTTTAGAGTTCTTGTGTTGAAAAGCAACAAAACTTAACTCTGGCTATCTTAAGCAAAAAAGAGAATTTATTGGAGGGGTGCCAGGTGTGCCCAGAATTAATGGGATGGCTGGGGAACCAGGCTAGGGAACAGACGGTAGCCAGGGTTTCTCCTGGGAGTGGAGGAGCCACAGGAAGGTGTGTAATGGAGGACTGGCTATGGCATCCCCCCAGGAGCTAGTGAGGCCGACCTGTCCTTCCATCACTCACCCAGGGGTCCAGGTCCCAGGATGGAGGATTCAGCTATTAGAGATTAGGTGATGTGTCCACCCCCTGGTGGCACTGGAACAGGGAGAAGGGTGGGGCCTCCAGGGACCATTGCCTTCTATATGTGAAGGCAGGCCATGGATTCCCTGCCAACTAAGGCTGCATAAAATTGAGAGGAGGTCGTTCTCCCAAAAGAACTCCAGATGGTATTAGAAACAGGAATAAATTCTGGGAGGCCCTACGTTTGTTTATTCATTCATTTAATAACTGTGCAGTGCTTACCACATGTGACAGGAGTGAACAAAGCCCCTTCAATCACTTCTATTCCAGTGAGAGGGTAATAAAATAGCAAGTAAGTATTTATCAGGGAAGACAGTACTATAAAGAAAAATAAAACAGGATACAGGGCATTCATTTCCGAAGAGCGTCATTCTAACACGATGTGCTTGTTCCGTGAACCCTCTCTCTTCCCTAGAGGGAGACACACAGAGCCTCATCAGTGGCAGCAGACACCTCCAAGTCTAGGACCTCTGAGGATAACCAGTCCTCCAGTTCCATGCAGTGCCTCTTCAGCATTGATAACCGGAGGTAGATTTAAGTAACACGTCCTATGAGAATGGCAAGGTGGGGAAAGGAAAGAGATAAAGAATTTGGGATGCTGCAGAGAATAAAACATCATAAAAAGTTTACATTTCAGGGCCGGGCACGGTGGCTCACGCCTGTAATCCCAGCACTTTGGGAGGCCAAGGCGGGTGGATCACAAGGTCAAGAGATTGAGACCATCCTGGTCAACATGGTGAAACCCCGTCTCTACTAAAAATACAAAAAATTAGCTGGGCATGGTGGCATGTACCTGTAATCCCCGCTACTCAGGAGGCTGAGGCAGGAGAATTGCCTGAACCCAGGAGGTGGAGGTTGCGGTGAGCCGAGATCGTGCCATTGCACTCCAGCCTGGGTAACAAGAGCGAAACTCCGTCTCAATTAAAAAAAAATTACATTTCAGCATTTGAACAGATTCCATAAGTCAGTACATAGGATGCACCCAGGTACCAGTGACTGCCCTGAAGAAGATGACTGTAGGTAATGTGAGGAGTAGGAGCAGGAGTGGGAGACAGCTAGCTCTCCAAGGAGGTGACATTGGGGGACAGGTGAGGAAGAGGCAGTGAGGCAGAGATCCGAGGGAGGAGAAGTCCTAGTGGAAGGAGCATTAGATGCCCAAAAACAGGCAGGAAACATGATGTGTCTGAGGTTCAGCAAAGAGGCCACAGTGGCAGGAGCTCAGGGAGCAAGAGACAAGACGAAGAAGTTGCAGGCTGGGAGGTGGGCTGTGGCTGGAAAGCTCTCTGCAGGTCATGAGGAGGCTGGGCTTGTTCTGAGTGTGCTGTGAAGCCATTTCCAGCAGGAGAATAATATGTTCTGATTTATGCTTAGAGAGGGAGGGCAGTTTGTGGGGAGAAAGGCAGAGGAGGAAGGGAGATTGATTTGAAGGCGATTGCATTAGTCCATGTGAGAAATATGGTAGCAGTGACCACAAAAGTCATCCCCATTGGGTGCTCGTTTTCCCAGTGGCATGAAGAGGCAAAAATGGGCAGCCTTAGTTGTAATTCATTGTGGCCAGGACTGTAAACTCCAGAGGAAGTACTTCTCCCTCAGGGGGCACTAGATTCAGTTTCAACAGGGCATAGCTCCTGGGTGGGAATAAAACGTTTTGCAAGTGTACTGTTGAGCAATCCTAAGAAGCCGCTTCCATGTTTGCCCTTGTTTTCCGGCCCTGCTCTTCTGCTGTGGGTGAGCCTCTCCAAACTAGTCACTGCTTCAGAGCCTGAATCACATCCAGGGCAGAATGGCAACTTCTGGCTGTGTCTCCAAGCTGCCTCAATAACTTCATTTTTATTTGGTCATTATTGGGCGAGATGGGGTCACAGGCTCCTTCTCTGTAGCCTTCTGGGCCTGGGTGGTGTGTGAGACACTGCGACAGGCTGGGAGCCATCTGGAGGATCCACAGAGGCCTGACAGTGCAGGAAAACAAATCCAAGCCCAGCATAAGTAGCCCTTCCAGTAGGGACAAATCATCACCCCTCTATTATGAAAAGGCCCCACTGCAATCAGCTTTCCTCAAGGGGCTGTCTGGTTCCTGTAGGGAACCATATCATTAGCTCTGTTGAGGGAAGGCCCAGGCTTCCTGTGGTTTAGCCCAGGCTTGGCATCCATTCTGCCACCATGGCCTTTTTGTTTCTTGCTTTTGATGAACCCAGTGAGCAAGTACCAAGATGACTAGGAAGGAAGACACATCCAGCGGCACAGTGGTACATCATGTCTACATGATGATTAATTAGCCTCTCTTGCAATAAGGATTCATGTAGGATGGACGTCATCTCATGCTCTGAGTGTATTTGATGTAGCCAATTACACCCCTTCCCCAAACCTGTCCCTGCCCATCTTGTTCTTTCCACATTCCTCCAGGCCATTCAGCCAAGCCATTTAGCTCCTAACAGGAGTGCACATGAGCTAGATCCTTGCCTTGCCAAAGCCATCTGTTCTACTCAGAAAGGCTTGGGAAAAGTGTTAGTTACATGTGCCACCAAATTTCCCTGTCCTGGGGACACAGTCACCAGGCTGATGATAGGAGTTCTCTTTGAGAAGCTAGGAAGAAGACTTGTTGTAGGATGCCTACCCTGAGGCTCCCTGGCTCCGTTCCATCAAGACGCCTGAGTTTGGGAGTGGAGGGGGCCCTCCCTTGTCTTCTCTGTCACGGTGGCTCAGGTCGGGCTCTGCTTGCCAGCCCTGGAGAGTGCCTCCCACACAGTCTTGTGAAATCTTAGTGGAATCACTCATCTGCTTTGTTCCTAGGGACCCTGAGATCAGTTAACAGCACAACCAGAGACCTCATGGGTCAAACCATTCAGATGATGAAGCTGGCCCAGCTGTGTGGTATAGTAACTAAGCCCACCTTTCTGAGAGATATTCCACCTCCACGAAGGACCAGGTCTGCACTGCAGTGGAACCATCTCTCAGTAGCATCTCTGGCCTAGAGAGATTAGCAGGACATTAATGATAAAAGCTGCTGTCACATGGGAGATGCAGCCCAAGGGTGGTGTGACTCTAATGATAGACCATCTCTAGCATTTCCATCTCAGTCCTGGAACTCCTCCCTTTCCATGCACTGAGGTTTTAGGTTCACATACCAGTAAAGTGCTAGAGTGGCATCTAGCTCAGTAACCCCACAAATTGATCTCAGCAAACCAGCTGAAAATGCATCATTTTGAGACACATGCTGGGGAGATTTTCACATGGACTGAATATTTGGCAACACGAAGGAATTATTTCTAAGTTAGTTAGTTGGGATAATCATAGTGTAGTTATTTTTAAGTCCTTGTTTGTTATAGATAGATACTGAAATACTTTCTGCATAAAATATGGTATGTGAGATTTGTTTTAAAATACTCCAAATATGTTGGTTGGAAATAGTTGAAACAATATTGACAAAAGATCGATAATACCGTGAATTGTGGGTTCACGGTATTAATTTATCTGCTTTTGTGTGTATTTGAAATTTTCTGTAGTATCAGCTTTTAAATAATAAAGTATATTTCTCCTCCCTGGTCAAGTATTCTCA